ATGATACTAGAATATATAACTTTTTTTGCTTTAACCTTATTTTAATATATGTGTATGCATTTATCTAGCTGTTAGAATGTAAGTTCCTTGAGGGTAGGGTTACTTTCCTTTTATCTTCATATCTCTGGCACCTGGTGTAATGACTGGCATATACTAGGTGCTTAATAAATGCTTGGTGATTTGATTGCAGCTGCTGTGTTAAGTTGTTGGAATAAAGATGAGGATTCTTCAGGGTTGGGGGGGTTGAATTTGACCTTATTTGGACACTTCAGCAGATCCTTCTGAAGCTATTAAATTTTATCATCTCTTTTCATCTACTATTGCATGAGTTCAGTTCCTTGTCTTCGATCAGCAATAACTTAGCTAAAGGTGGGTCATTTGGGCCTGTGTCCAGCATATGTAGTAGACTCCTGGGCTACGGAGGGCAAATATTTGAATGTTTGGTGTGAATGTAGAATCATTGCATTTATAAAGAGTAATTAAAATCCTAAAATGTTAGAGCAGGAAGGAATGGAGGATTCAGTTCAGCAAACATTAAGTTCCTACTTCAGTGAGCAGGGCACTGTCGGTGCTAGGGGATACAAGGACAGAGACATAGCATAGACTACTTACCTTTCTACAAGGTAGTTTTAGAGGAAAGCAAGCACTGATCACCTGGCAGAGAAAGGGAAGAAAGGAGCAGTGCAAGTTGGCTGGCTGCTGAGATGACCCTTAAAGGAAATAAAGAGCCACAGGAGATGCGAGCATCCTGGGCACCATGGTCCTGAGAGTGGGAAACATCTCAAGCAGAATCCTCAAGCAAGAGACATTGTCTAGTTCAGGAGTACATAGTAAGTAAGTGGGTTTGGCTGGCTGGAGCACTGAGCATAGAGTATATGAAGAACAGTGATGATGAAATAAATCCAGAAAGGCAGTTGGAGCCAGGTTCTGGAGGTGTTTCAATGCCAAGCTGAGGACTTTGTATTTTATCTTTGAGAGAGTAGGAAGCCACTGTAGAACTAGTCATACTTCCTCTTTTTGCAAAGAAACAGGTGAAACTTCCCAATTCACCTAACTAGTTAAAAGGCAAAGTAACAAAACCCTTTAACAAACATAGCAGAACTTACTGATCCAAATGAGTGTTGTCTTTCAAAGCAACTGCTTCAGAATCTATTCAGTTGTTCCAGAACTGCTCCCATTGCTCAGAACATGTCTAGGACTGCTATTTCTGGGAGTAGTTTTCAGAACAGTTTTTCTGGAGGCTTTTTTTTTTTTGGATGGGTTTGATTTTTGGCAACAACCAGTAATAATTTAGGATAAAAAAAAATTAAGTGGTATCATAAAGTAATGAGACAGGTACAAGTCATCCACATGCCACCAGAGAAGACACTTCCTGAAATGTCCTAAAGGAAATTTGCACCATTGTTGGAAGAAGTGTACAGCTTGCATGGGAATTGCTGTGAAGAGGATACCACTGGTCTTGATCAGTTGGTTTCATAGCTTCATGGTTTTTGCCTAGTATGAGGAAATAGGAAATGGACCTGTGATTTCATTGATGTAGGGAACTCTTTCTGGTGACAGACTTCTTCTGCCAATGTAGTCTGACCTTTTCTCTGCAATATGCATAGTTTCAGAGTTACTTAGAGCCCTGAGGAGCTAAATGGCAAGCCCCAGATGATAGAGCCAGTTGCTGTCTAAGGCCAGCTCCATCCATACACTATAACAAGTGTAACTAGTAAATGTAATGGCTGTAATTTGGAATACTATAGACATTTTCTAAATTTGCAAATCTCTTTGCTTATCCCTGGACTGTGAAAACTGTAATTAGCAGATCACAACCTGAGCTGTTCTTCTAGGTCATTCTGCAGCATTTTCTCCATCCTTATCTTCCTGAACTAATTTGTAGCATTTTCGTACCATATTGTACTCTCAGTTTTGGCGTTGCAGGATATTCCATTTTCCCACTTCTCAGACTGCTTCTTTTGTAGCTCCTGCTGACTTTTCTCCCTTCCCCATATTGCTTTTGTATTTGCCTTGAAGTGTATACAGTTTTGAGTCTTTCTCCTCTTACACTTTGACTCTCTGTCAGATTGCAGTGTGCTTGTCCAGCTCTGTATGCCTTACTGTCTAGTCCTACAAAGTTGTATTCGTCACTTTCCACAGGACTGCCCTTTCATTTAGATTTCCTGCTATTCTCTTAAAATCAAACAAGGTACCAGGTATTCAAGAATCATTCAACGTTAGGAGAACAATCAATGTAATTAATCATATTAAAAACAAAAACATCATGATGACCTTACTAGCTGCAGAAAAAAGCTTTAACAAAGTACAACACTCATTTATGCTATTTTTGAAAAATACAACATTATAGACATAGAGGGATCTTTTTTGGTATGATAAAATTCAAATAAAAGCAAACATTATATGCAATGGGGAAGCACTAGAAGTTTTGCTAGTGAACACAGAAGTAAAGCAAAGGTGCCTCCTTTCCCAGCTGTTATTTGATATAGATCTAGAAATGCTAGCAATAGTTGTAAGACAAGAGAAAGAAATAAAGAACTTAAAGACAACTATCATTATTTGCTGGTGACTATGAGGAATCAAAGAAACGATAAAAAAAAAAGTGAAACGATAGCAAAGTTGTAGGTTACAAAATTAACCCATAAAAATCAACAACTTTTCTACAATAACAATCCAGGAGGCAATAATAGAAAGTCCCTAAAAATTACTATTCAAAATAACTATAAATGCATATCAGTTTACCAAATTACCTCTATTGTCTGCATAAATACTCTTTAAAGAAATAATAAACAACTTAAATAGCTGCTGGAATATTTATTACCCGTGGCTGGGCTATGTCAGTGTAATGAAAGTGACAATACTACTACAATTAATTTATAGTGTCAATGCTGTTATACCGAACTGCCAAAGGGATGCTCTTTTGAGGTAGACAAAATAAGTACACTCATTTGAATGAACAAAGATTGAGACTATCAAGGGAAATAATGAAAAAAAATAAGAGTAAAGGGGAAATAGCACATCCAGACCTCACACCACATTATAAATCAGTAGTCTGCAAAACCATTTGGTGCTGGTTAAATAATAGAAAAGCACATCAATGGAACACAGACAAGGAAGAATCAGAAATAATTAAACTCAGTAATCCAGGGTTCAATAAATCAGACCATTTAAATTACTTAGGAAAGCACTCCCTATCAGATAAGAACTGCTGGGAAAACTGGGGAAACAGTGTAGTAAAATAATGTTTCCAGTGTCTTCCTCCTCCATACTTTTGGGTAGTTGTAAACATTCTTCAAGATATGTTCTGACCCTTTTGCTCACTTTTTCAAAGCCCTGTGATATTGACATTGGCTCTTGAATCAGAGCAAAACTTTTAGTTCATGGGCTTTAAGAGTTGCTGACCCTTTTCCTTATTCAGCTACATCCTGGGCCTTTTTTTTTTTAACCATGTCTCCCTCTTGCCTTCTTTCACCTGGAACGCCCTTTTTTTTCCCCTCCCTACTAACTTCCCTTCTTCAGAGGTACAAACTTCATAAGCTGTTGCTCAAAATATGTCTATCACTCTTATTAGAAAATGCCTTTAGAGCCTTTGGAATAAATAGCTTTAATGAAGACAGATCTTTTTCCTTTCAAGGGTAGATTTTTTTAAAAAATTGTTTTGGAAATAAACAAATGCCAGTGAATGATTAGGCTTAGGAGATAACTTTTTTATGTCAAAAACAATGGCAGCTAAAATAATAGCTGGTTTTCCTGTATGGCTCGTATTTTCTCCAAAAGCTGTTGCAGGGAGGAGTTCCAAGCATACTGTGAGCAGTGGCAACGTTGTTGGAATAAGTGTTGCCTTCTAAAAACAACTTTCATTTGGATGTATTATTTTGGGGGGTCTTTAAGGAAATGAGACTTTATTGTCATACTTTGGGGCTTCTTCTCTTCTCCAGCTCTTCAGTGTGCAAGTTAGCTATGTGTTTTCAAGTATCTGAAGGTCATAGTACCAAAGTCATCAGCTGAGGGGACAACAGGGAGGGAAGGAAAGAGAAAAAGGAGAGAATAAGTATTTGTTAGGTATGTGCCAGGCACTGTGCAAAAGTACTTTACAAATATTTTCTCATTTGATCCTCTCGACGACCTTGGGAGGTAGCTGCTATTATTATCCTTATTTTACAGATGAGGAAGCTGAGACATATTGTTAAGTGACTTGCCCAGGGTCGCACAGCTAGTAAATGTCTGAGGTCAGGTTTGCACTCACAGGTAACAGGCACTAGCAGTACATAGTACAAGTATATATATTTAGTCCCTTTTTTTTCCTGGAGTTTGGTATCACCTCTACAGACTGTTGACCTTTTGAATTAGATAGATTCCTGCCTCTCTGGAAGACTTTGTGTTTGGCTCCAGAACTCTGTAGCCCTTGACATTTTATTTTCTAGCAGTGAAATCACAGTGAATTTTAGGCATCCAGTGGTTTAGAAGAGCAGATGTACTTTGGGTTTTTTTTTCTTTCTCTGCTAAAAGTTTCTTTTTTTCTCAATCATATATTAAAAATGTTTAACATTCTTTTTTTTTTAACTTTTCAGTTCCAAATCCCCTTTCTCACCTCCCTCCTCCTTGAGAAAGCAAGGGATTTGATATAGATTATATATGTGAAGTCATGCAAAACATATTTCCACATTAGCCATGTTGCAAAGACAACACAGCCCAAAAAACAAAAACAAGAAAACTAATGTTTGAAAAGTATGCTTTGATGTGCATTCAGACTCCATCAGTTCCCTCTCTGGAGGTGGATAGCGTTTTTCACCATAAGTCCTTTGGAATTGTCTTGGATCATTGTGCTGCTGAGAATAGCTAAGTCATTCACAGTAATGTAACACTGCTGTTACTGTGTACAGTGTTCTCCTAGTTTTGCTCATTTCATTTTGTATCAGTTCATATAAGTCTTCCCAGGTTTTTCTGGCAGATCTACTTTCAAAGAATCTTGTTGGTAACGCTTTGTGTTTCATTTGTAGGACGAGACTTGATGCCCCACGATTGGAAACAAAGTCCCTGGGTAACTCTGTGTTACCCCCTGGTTACACTTCTGATCGTCTGTCAGGAAGCAACAGGGACCAGATCCTAAAACCAAAGCGGTCCCACCGAAAAGCAGATCCGGATGCTGCTCATAGGTATGAACTGAGTTGGGGCTTTATCGCCGATTACCTGAAATAGCATAATTTACTTCATATTTTCTCTCTAGACCCAGCAAAGGAGATTTTGTAATAATAGTAATAATAATAGCTAGCATTCACATAGCATTTTAATGTTTGCCAAGTGCTTTGCATGTGTTATCTCTTTTGATCCTTGCAGCAACATTGGGAGGTAGGTAGATGAGGAAACTGAGACTGAGAGAGATTGATGATTTGCCCAGTGTCATATAGCTAGTAAGTGTCTGAGGCCAGATTTGAACCCAAGTATCCTCACTCCAAAGAGGCACCAAGGTAGCTCACTGGATAGTGGTATAGGCCTGGGGTCAGAAAGACCTGAGTTCAAATGTGGCCTCAGACACTTACTAGCTGTGTGACACTGGGCAAATCAGTTCACTTCTGTTTGCCTTGGTCCACAGAGAAAGAAATGGCAAACCCACTCCAGTATCTTTGCCAAGAAAACCTCATGGACAGTATTGATGTGCTATGGTCTACAGGGTCATGAAGAGTCAGACTGAACAACAGCAATCCTGACTCCAAGACCAGCACTCTTATCTACCCCACCACCTAGCACTTCTTATATAGTAAGGGATTACAGCGGGACGCATGCTAATGTTCCTGACTTCACCATTTCTGTTTGGTTTTAGGCAAACTGAGAGACATGGTTCTCAAACAGCTTGGTATTCAACTCTGGCCTTATGTATAGTTTCTGGAGAAAATGTAACTAAGATAACTTTTATTGCTTATTAGGGAAAATATCTCTCTGCTTACATTTGTATAGAAAATTTCAGCTTTCCTTATAGCAGGTGACAGAGCCAGTCTTCATTCCAAATCCAGGGCTGTTCCCACTATACTCTTCTGCCTTTCAGCAGAATCACATCACATCTCTGAAATTTGGTATTTTACAGAGTTTTTGGACTAAAAGGAGCCGTTAATCAGCTGTAATCTAACCCTTATTTCTCAAATGGAAAAACTTGGGCCTAGAGAAGGAAAAGGGTCATAGATTTAGAACTGGACATGGCCTAGGATAGATCATCTGATTCAGCTCCCACATTTTAGAAATAAAAAACTCAGAGGGTAAGTGACTTTCTCAAAGTGATGCTGCTAGTTGTAGGCCAGATCTCACTCCTATTCAGTATCCTTTCTGCCATATGATACCAACTCCAAAGTATTTTTCTTGCCCCCTACCTGTAATTCTTCCTTTTTTTCTACCCCTACAGGCCACGAATTTTAGAAATGGACAAGGAAGAGAACCGGCGTTCTGTCCTCTTACCAAAACACAGGAGGAGGAGCAGCTTCAGCTCTGAGAACTATTGGCGAAAGTCTTATGAGTACACAGAGTACTGCGGAGAGGATGATGGGAGCCCAGCCCGAAAAGTGAAGATGAGGAGACACTGAGAAATGAGCAAAAAGACTCAAGCTGCAGAAACCAGCCTCTCTTCTGTGAAAACTTTCTTTGGCTGTTTCTCATAGCTTTTTTTTTTTAAGAGTTTTTTCCTTCATTTTAGGGCTGAAGAAAGGAACTGGGACAGGATCCGGATTTTTTTTTTTTTGGTTCACTTATTTTCCTGAATGGAAATGATATTGAGGCATCTTTGTTGCTGGGGAGCGTTGGTTACCACCTGGTCAGTCAGATGGGCACTTTGCCCTAACCAAACATATAAAGTTCAAGCTGTGCTAGGCTGTGTTTATTTAAAACACCAAAAATGTTTTACTGTTTCACTGCTGAAGATTCAAGAAATTAGTCCTTTTGCTTTAATTGTAAATTTTTTTAAACGTTCTAAATATATTGTTTGACCCCCTAGAGTTGAAACTTGGTCATGGCCTCTTCATGCTTTACCAACTTTAGAGTAGGGCTTGCTAAGCCCTAAGTCTCCTGTTGATTCTTTTCTCTAACCTGCCATTTGGTAACTGGAATCTTGAAGTTTGCAAATTGTTCTTCCTGCAACAGATTTCCAAGTTGCTTAGATCATCTAGCTGACAGCTTATATGGCCACTGCACCAAGTTCTGTTTTCTCCCAGATGTGCAGTTGTCATACTTTCTCAGCCAGTTCTTGACCATTCCCAGCAGCCCAAGAAAAAGGTGGGGGGAAGGTGGTACTGGAACAGAGCCCTTCGCTTAAATAGCATGATTTTGTTCATAGGTATCTCCTTTCATGCATTTGGACATATGTGTGAATATTTGGATAAGTTAGAGTCTTCTCATGTTTTGGTCGGTTTTAGAAATTTTTCTAGCAAGGAGGACTGATGTCCTTCCAGGTCTAGGGTTTGGAATATGGAAAAGTGTCATGGTGTGTGGTGGGTTTTTGTCTAATCTTTTTTGTCTTCATCCTTTCCCTTCTTTCCTGATGAGGACCTAGGCTGGGAGAGGTCTCCGTGTTACATGTTCAACATTTGGCAGTCTGTTTTCTAGGTCCCCTTTAGAGAAGGTGCCTCCTTCTCTACCCCCTCCCCTTAAGACAAGGACTTCAGAGGGTATCAGCTTTTGAAAATTCTCTTTTTTCTCTCTTCTTTTAGTCTTTTAATTCTTATAGAAAGGGGAATTTCCACAGGTTCTCATGGTTTAGTGGTGGCCATGAGGAGAGATGAGAAAAGAGTTGGCTCTGATGGAAATTTATATTTCCCCCTGGATTATTTCCTTTGTCAGTTTCTTGGGAGGGTTGTGAGAGTTGTGAGTAATGGGAAGAACCTTTTTTAAAACATTTTTTAAATTTAACAAAAAAACTTAAGCAACTTTCAGCGAGTCAGGCCTATTAAAACTGAAGTCCTATTCCTTTTGAACTGCTAGGAATTCTTAGTAGAAACAGGGCTCCATTGGCCATAAAGATGACTCAGGAGAAACCTGACTCCTGCTGCTAAGACCTTAACTTTGTTTTCCCACCTGATCCTTCTCTCTGTTCTGTCCTGTTGACTTAGCTTGTCTGAGGCCTTGAAGGCTCTGGAGGTTTGGGGTCTAGTGATAAATTTAGAACCCTCTTTTGAAATATAAATTTAAAAAAAAAAACTTCTCAGATTTTGATTCCTTGAATCTGGATTTAAGTACTAAAGCAGTTGCAGCTTTATTTTTTTTACAGCTTTTTTCCCCAAAAAATTATTTGTAGTTTTGTGTGTTTGGCACTTTGCTATGATCTGTGTGCTCTACAATAAAAACAAAATCTAATATATTTTGAAACATATTGTCTGATGCTGTCCTAAAGAGTGACTTTATTTTGTTAAGTTCCCCTTCTCTACCATGTCCCTTTTTGAAAAAGGGATCTGTTGTTCCCTGTCAGTTTGTGAGGGTGGAACCATACTGCCTACATGTAGCTGACAAGGATCCTTTCTCCCAGGACAAGTTAGTTGGTAGTGTCTAAGTAGTCTGCTTCACTGAAGGAAAGAGAAGATATTGTTTAGGTAGATTGAATCCTGACCTAGGCAGAGGTAGTCCTGAGGGAGCACTTTGTCTCTTGAAAGGCTTACAAAATCCAGGCAGGTTTAGGGTAGGTAGTGAGCCATCTCTATGTAAATCCATTGCCCCATGACACATACACCACCCTCAGAAAATAATAGCATCCTTCTGTATCCATCAGGGCCCCAGATGACCCTTATTGGTGACTTGCCAACTGCAGATTATATCATAGTGATGTTTATCCATTCTTTAGTTACCTAGGTCTGGGGTCCTATGGTAGCCTTCTAAGTGGCAGACTGTTACCACTTTCTCACTTTCCCTGATAGAAGAGGTAAGGAAAAATAACTGATTGTTCTGGGGATCTTCCTCTTCCAAATTGAGTACTAGGCATCACCATGCTGCAGACTATTCTCTGAAGCTACCTGGGTCAGACAGGTAGCTGTTTGGCTGGAGGGGGAGGCCTTTTCAAACAGACCACAAGGCTTGGAGTTTTCTCTAGAAAAGCTGAGGGCCGACTTGGTAGGTGGCCAGATGGGTCTTGATCACTTGATTTGTATTTGGGTCTGACAGATCCTGTTCTTCATCTGCATTCTTTATTTAGTGGATCTGAAGTGCTAAAGTGAAGGGATGGAGAGAATATTGGTCTATCTCTTTTTAGGAAGAAGGTTTCCCTGCCCCAAGGTACCTTAAGTGTCTCTTGGATAAACCAGAGACAGGAATGTTTGACTATGTGGTGTGGAAAGGTATGAGATCTGGACAAGCAGGGACCCTAGTGTAGTGTCTTCCCTGTGGACTCTTTGAGTGGCACAAGTAGGAGCTAATATATGTTGACTTGAATTGAAGGGGGAAGGGTGCAGCAATGGGGTTATTAATACAACTGGGAATTTGAATTTTATGAATTCAGTCAGACCCTTATAAGCACAGAATTAACTTTTGTGTTTCAGCTCACAAGGCCTCCTACTTCTCAGTCTCCTGCTAGCTTCTAGGGTATTAATAGACAGTTCGCTTAGGTATTATCAAAAACCAGCTTGAGGGAGCTCATAATAGAGGCAGAGCCTAGGATAGCATGCCCACAACTTCCCCTGGGCTCCCTGGCTGTGTGTACAAGGTAGTGGGGTGATGGCATAGGCCCTTGTTTCCCAGCATATCGACTGCAGCGGCAAAGGGGAACCCTGCAGAATGAAAAGGATTTGAAACAAGCGAGTCCATTTGTCTGGCCTCTTCTTAAGCGAAACTGTCTTAGAAAGCAGAGGAAAGATTTTCTAAGCAACCTTGACTCATTGATAATAAGAGTGTTGGCAGTGAATATCAGGACTGAGTCAGGCTTGAGACCTGGGCTTTACCAGACCCGTAAGGAAGAAAATGGAGAATTAAAGGCTCTGTCTAGAAGCGTCGGTGATTACAGTTGTGTGTGTGATTTGGGATTAACAGAACCGTTGAAAACCTTGGCTTCAGTCACCTCTAGAGAACACAGAAGGGGGCAATGGTACTGAGATACACATCCCACTTCTCCCTTTTGATCTCTTGAGTCTTCCCATCCTCCCCTCCCCCAGCTCAACCTTATGGTAAAATCTAGGTATTTTTAATTCCAGCTGAGTAAACAAACCACTGTAAAAATCCAGACTGTTGGAAAGGGCTTGAGGGTTTGACTAGGGAAGGACCCCACAAATGGGTGGGAGGGTCATGTCCAGCACTGACCTGGAGGTCCTCAAGCAGGTGGCTTCTGGGGCCCCTGCAGACAGCCTGACAGCCAGTTTTCCCCAGGCCTTGTGCCATGGGTGGAGAAAATGTCAACTTTCAGGTTGTACTGTGAGGAATTTAATCTTGCTGTCATCTTGACCTTGTTTGAAATGTCAAATGCTACTTCCCCTCCTGTCTTGGGAACTTCCTTTTGATGAGCCCTTTTCTTATAGCTGGGCACTTACTGAGAGGAGCAGGGGAGGGATGGGTGCAGTCTTTGAAAAGAACTTTATTACAAAAGTGGCAATATTTATTTTCTTTAATATTTCATAGAAGTATAGTTTGTTACAGAGCTATACAGTGCAAGACCCAGAGATGCACTGGGGCTAAGGGGATGCCTGTTGGATATGGGGCAGCTTGTCATTCTAGTTAATTCTGAGAATTTTAGCTGGGCCCCCCACCGTTTGTATAAAATGTTACATTTAACGTAATAAAAGCAGGAAGCACTGGCCTGTTGTACGGTGTGGTTTTTCTTTGGATAGAGGCATCTATCTCATAATCCCCCTCTTCACTTAACTTTGAGGTCTCTTAACTCTTAACATCCCCTTTAGTTGGAAGCCAAGGAAAGTCAAAATATAAGATGGTTTTTCCAGAGCTAAAGGTCTATCCGTAATATTTAAACACTAACCCGCAGGGCAGTACCAGTACGAAACAAAATGGGGTTTTGACCTTCCATCACACTCAGGATTTGGAGATAGAAGTAGTTAAAGATCTAGTCCTGGAGTTCTTTTTTGTGCCATAGACACACTTTTTAGACTAATGTTTTTAAGTACGTAAAATAACAAAGGAAACCAATTATATTGAAATGTAGTTATCAAAAAGAATTTGTTTATAAGTTCACACACCCCAGGTTGAGAACCTTGCTAGTCATCCAACCCCCTCATTTTAAAGATAAGGAGATGGGTTCAGAGTTGGAGTGGGGGGAGAGGTATCAGACTCGAACTGACAGAAATTAGGACTATGGCACATACATGCATCAGATAGGGCAGTGTAGAATCTGGCACTGAAAAACATTAAGGTCCAAAACGGGTAATGCGTTACGTGCCACAGAAAAGAGGACGATCAGTATGAGCTGAGGTTATCAAAGAAGATTCTATGATGAGGTGAGATTTGAGTGGTCCCTTGAAGGGTTAGAATTTGAATTGGTGAAAAGGAAAAGAGAATACAAAGATGCAGGGGCCAGAACGAGGACTGCGGGTGGAGGGATAGTGAGGACCGTCCCGGACTAGAAAGGTTGTGTTCCGGGGAGCTAGGGAAAGGTCTTATTAGAAGGAAAGGATTAGAAGGTCGAGCCCTTATTTGGTGCCTTTGGACTCTGGGCCTTCTACACACAGGCTCCAGTAAATGAAGACTTTCCTGCCAGTGAACATACTGTGCACATGCCTTCCTGCTTCTCGCCGTTACCCTTCTTGAAAGGGAGAATGAGAAGGACAAGGAGGTAAAGCCAAGTTGACTCTGCTGGCTCACTCCACATTCTCGACCCTGTGAGGTAGCCAATGCAAATATCTCCACTTTTCAGATGGGGAAAATGAGTCCAAGGGAAGAGGAGGTCACAGAGCTAGTAAGCATTAGAGTTAGGATTTGAAACTGCACTGCCAGATTGAGGCAGGTATTGAATTCCAGACCCTGGACTTTTCCTCTTTGGGGTAGTGGAGGCCACACATATGTGCATGCACACATGTGGGATCAGGGGAGCAGAGATTAGCTGAAAGAGATCTCAAAGTTAATCTAGCCCAAACCCCCCATTTCACAGGTGAGGGAATTGAGCCCTGCAAAGATTAAGCAGTTAACCAAAATCAAACAGGTAGTGAGTGGCAGAGCTAGGTTTTGACTTCACGTCCCAAGCTTTCTCCTTCACCCCACTTCTCATTCACAGGCAAATGCACTCACACATGTACCTTGCAGCTACATCTGTCAACATTTATTGTTCAGTCATTTCAGTGCTGTCCAACTCTTCATGACCCCATTTGGGGTTTTCTTGGCAAAGATACTGGAGTGGTTTGCCATTTCTCCAGTTCGTTTGACAGATGAGGAAACAGAGGAAAATAGGGTGAAGTGACTTGCCCAGGGTCACACAGCTAGTTACTGTCTAAGGCAGATTTGAACTTGGAAAAATGAGTCTTCTTGACTTCAGGCCCAGAGCTCTATCCACTGAACCCCCTAGCTGTCCCTTAGTAACACTTAGTGAGCCACTAAGTGCTGTATCTGGTGGGGAGGTTGGGCAGGGGACTAATAGAGCAGGAAAAAGGATCTTACAAGACACTGTCTTCAGGGAGTCTACAGTAGGGGAGATCTGTCCAGGAAAAATTACACGTGAAAATTATACCAAGAAGATATCAATTGCAAATAGATTCAGAGGGATGGACACAGACACATAGTTTGCCAACGTGGCTGGATGTGGACCATGTGGGAGGAGGTGTCATTGTAGCAGAACTGGCCAGGACTTCACCCCCCGGTGTCAGTGTCCAGTCTCAGGAGCAGCAGACTGAGGCAGACCAGGAGAGTCCAGTACTAAGAGCCCAAGCCAGGCTTGGTAGTTTGAGTGTGGCAGAGACTCTCAGTAGGGCCAGGAGTGCCCAAGAGGACACATGTGAGGGAAGCTAGATGGAGTACTAGATAGAATGCCATACCAGGAGTTGAAAAGACCCGAGTCAAATTCTGCTTCAGACACTAGTTGTTTGACTCTGGGTAAATCACTTGACCCTTCTCAGACTCAGTTTCTTCATCTATAAAACGAGGATTATAATGGTACCTACCACACAGGGTTGTTTTGAAGATCAAACAAGATAACATGTAAAATGTTTTTCAAACCTTAAAGCATTATGTAAATGCTAGATAATACTATTTGTCTTCAGTGGGTCTCAAGCCACAATTCTGCATTCATTTTCCTCTACCACTCTTCAATGTTTGTGAAATGATACCGCTCACAATCTCCCACCACCTTTTCTCCGTAACATTTTGTATATGAGTTTATATTCTAAGCCAATGTTGTCCTTAGGTCTCTGCACTTGGTGAGGAAATCAACTATTTGCAGGCTAAAGGAGTTTGGGGATTCTTTGGGTCACTGTGACAACTATTTTTCTCCAGTTAATTATTTTTCCCTTATCCATTTCAAATTTGTCTTAGCATCAATAGTTTGCTTGAATACGTCAGGTTGGAGCTCTTTTAATTGCACAGTATATTGCACAGTATCTTTTTCTAGTCTTTATCCTGTCTTCTAATTTGGTATGGTTTGAACGAACTAATGTCGTGACTACACATTGACAGTGGATTCTGAAATGATTCCCACTTCAGGTATGAGTTGTTTCCTCTCTGTTGATAAAGCCATTTTCCTTTCAGTCCCTTTCCTTCCCCTCTCTCTGTTTCTGTCCCCTTGCCTTTTTCTTTTTTCTTTTCTTTTCTCTTTTCTTTTCTTTTCTTTTTTTTTTGTGATTGAGCCTCCCTATTTCATCAAGGCTAGAAGTACTTCAGCCACTCACAGACCTGATCCTAATATCGACCCTCTCCATTTCCAGCCTTGGCCTGGTCTCTTCTTCTTAGACAGCTATAAGTGGCCACACACTCCCAGGAGGATTGCTGCTGGACTTGGTACAGACACTCCATTAGCTTTAGTCCTATGGTAGCTCAGAACTGCAGAGCTCAAGCAATCCACCAACCTCAGTCCCCTTTTCCTCACCTCCCCAGCCCACATTACAGGCATGTTACCACCATGACTGACTCTACTTTCATTTTTGTGATATTAAAGTTTGATGCATGCTATACCCAAGGCCTTTCAACTCTCTTCCTCAACAAAGTATTCAAGGAAATGCCCATTTTATTTGATGTTTAAGTTCAGATTTTTTAAAAAAGGATACATTCATGACATATAAGTGAGAAGCTTGATTTCTTAATCCTGAGTAATGTTCTTCAGCACATTTTTTTGCCATCTTCTCTGCCCAACTTTTCGTTGAAGTTACCAAGTATCTTCATATTCATCCAACTATCCATCCATCCATTCATCTAATCTATTTATTTATCTATCATCTATCTGTGGGCAGCTAAGGAGAGCAGTGGATAGAGCACTGGGGCTGAAGTCAGGAGGACCTGAGTTCAAATGTGGTCTCAGACACTAGCTGAGTGACCCTGGACAAGTCACTTAACTCTCTGTCAAATGAACTGGAGAAGGAAATGGCAAACTACTCCAGTATCTCTGCCAAGAAAACCCGAAACGGGGTCATGAAGAGTCAGACATGATTGAAAAACGACTGAATGACAACATCATCTATATATATTGACTTGCTTGGAGGCCATTCACAAAATCTCAGTTGTCAGGAGGCTAGCCCAGCCTGTGCCTGAACAAGAATGCTCTCTACAACACCCCCAAGAGTTCATCTGGCTTCCATTACATGGCTTTTAGTGAAGGCGACACATTCTACTTTTAGATGGCCTAATTGTTAGAAATGTCTTCCTTACGTAGAGCCTAAATCTGCCAATCTGAAAATGTATCAAATCTTAGGTTCTTTGGAGAATATCTCTGCTTCATCTTCCTCTGCAATAGATGATGACATGTACATTAGCTGTATAATAGGATGCTCTGGCCCCAGTCTCTCAGGGCCAGGCTGGCACTATCATTCTAATAATACAAACTCTGTATTTCCCATATTAGTTTAATTCAACATCAGTACTCATACAGGAGTCCATTAAATGGCAAGTCGTAGTCCTTAAACATTCAACAAATCGACAGATGCAACAGTCTGCAAAATTGCCTCAATGAAACCACTTTGTAAGGGAACACTAACTGGAAAACTAACTATGATGATAGTTATATATACATATGTATACACATACCACACACACCACATATATATACACATACACACATTCATCTACATATGTAAGTACGTAAACACACACATAGGGCAGGTAGGTGGGCACAGTGGATAAAGTACCAGGCCTGGAGTCAGGAAAATTAATCATCCAGACATTTACTTGCTGTGTGACCCTAGGCAAGTCACTTCATCCTGTTTTCCTCAGTTTCCTCATCTGTAAAATGAGCTGGTGAAATATCTCCAGTATCTTTGCCAAGAAAACCCCAAATGAGATCATGATGAGTCAGACATGACTGAAAACTACTGAAGAACAGCAATACACACATATTTGCCAATTTCTCTAAGATATAGCAAACTACGATATCTAAAATTTTAAGTCCTGGGTAGAGAGTCTTTCCAAGGGTTCCTACTAGTGTTAAGGGCCCAACTTTAGGCCAGATAAGACTTACATGGAACAAATTTCCCTCCGGTTCCACTTTCTCAGGGCCAGGCTTGCTGTATCTCCCCTCAGGGTTCCAGGGGGTGATCCTGAAGTTTGATGTGTCTCTTCACCTTGAACCCCACTGGTTGTGTTCCACACATACCCTGCCCCCATTGTCAGGGACATTTTGACTATGCTCCAGTTCCTTTTAATCACTCAT